GGGGAGGCTGCTAAGTTCTCCACTTCTCCTAAGAGGGGTTGTCCACACCCTGCCTCTGCTTCCTCAACTCCCACGCACTCCTTGAGTGTGACCCCACAGCTGCCCACCTCACCACCAGCTCTGAGACACTCCAGCCACAGCTTCCCTGTTGCTAAGTCCGATGCCCACTTCAGTCTTCCTTCTGTTTGCTTCTGCTCACACTCTACTTCTGGGGACTTCTGGGGACTTCCAGATACCCACTCCCTCCTGGTGCTGCTTTTCTTTTTGATGGCCATGCCACTGCATGTCCTTCGAATACTGATGTTTCCCAGGGTCCTACTCTTCTTATCTGCCCCAGGGATCTCACCCCCTGCTGTGCTCAGTCACCACCTGTGTAACTGGTGGCTCCAAAATCTCCTCTGGCCAGCAGTATCTCTTCTGAACTCCAGAATCATTCTCCTAACCACTGTCTGGATGTGGCCACCCACAGCTCCTCTGGCCTCTCAAAATCTGCAAAAACAAAGTAATTTCTTCCCAGGCCCTGTTGCTTACATGCTGTGTCCCCAGGGCATGATTTAGGAAACTTCTGGAAAGCCTGGCCCAGTACTTGTAAAATGGGAACAGTTTCCTGTGGTGAGTTTCAGAGGAGAGGGTGTAAGAAACTTGGTGGCCAGGCCTGGCCCCACAAGCACGCAGGCAGTGCAGCCCACTGCCTTCTGCTGGCCCTGTCCTCCACCCAGCCTACTCTTCTTGCACAACTTATGTCAGTTTTCAGCTACTGGGGACAGGATCTCATGCATCTACAGCTCATTAACTGCTAATCTGGGTAGATTCTACCTGGAAAATAACCCACACTTGCCCCTGCTCACTATTTCTGTGGTTACTACCCAGGCTCAGGTGTTATCACGTTGTCTGGCCAATCCCCTCAGCCTCCTCTGTCTTGCAACCCATCCCCAGTTGTGGCTGAAATGGCCCTTGTGGAGCAAAACTGTGATCATAACATGCATCCCCTTGGTTACAATTCTGTGACAGCCCTCGGGTCTGCCCACATTCAGCCAGCACCTAGTTTTGTCTTTCTTCACTCCTGCCTTTCTCCTGTGGATCCTACTCTGTTTATTTTCTTGCTTTTGAGCCTCAAACCCCTGCTCTTATAGTCCAAATGGTCTGGCCGCCCCCACCCCTACTGCCCCCCCCACCTCTGACTGGTAAACATGACTCATCCTTTAAAGTCACTGAAACAGCCTCCCCCTTCCTTAGGGACCCCCGAGTCATCTCTTCCTCTGTGCTCCCATGACCCTTGGTAAACGTTTCAGTCATTCCTTTAGCGAACACACCTGATACGTGCCAGACAATGTTTTCTGAGCAAACTGCAAATATTAACTCGCTTGATTTTCATAACACCCCTAAGGTGGTTATTATATTCAGTTTCCCCTTTCTGCACAAGGGATCCAAGGTTCTTAAGAGACTGAATCACTTGCCCAAGATTACTTAGAGGAAAGTGGTTGAAACTGTTGGAACCCAGGCCATGTAGCCCCAGAGCCCGGCCCTGATTCACTCGGCCCTGTGACCTCTCTGATGGGATCAGCATCACTGAGCACTTAGTACTAAGCAAAACAATAGCCAGTGTGTGACCTTTTTTTTTTTTAATCTAAAAGCAGCACATTTGCACTTGTGCTAGGCACTACAGCAGAAAACTCTCTTGACAGAAATATCTTGGTTTCGCATACATTGTGCAAAAATGAAAATGACGTAGAAAATATATAAAATAAAATAATAAAGTATTAGCAAGCAAAAAAGAAAGAAAGAAAGAAAGAAATATCTTGGTATCCAGAAAGGAAAAGTAGAGTTTGATGATAGGTAAGAATAGGTAGGGGGCATATGACCTGGTTTAGGGGGATCTGTGAGAGCCCCTTCTGAAGTGATATCTAAGAGAAGACATGAAAGAGGACTGACAGGTGAAGGGAGAGCCTAAGGGTGGGGTCGGGGAAGGGATATCTGGGCAGAGGCAACACCTGGAACAGCATAGGCTGAAGCCTGAGAACTAAGAGAAAAACACCTACTCTGCCACCCAGAGCAGGTGCTCAATGAGGACTTGTCAAAAGAAAATGAGAAATGTAAGGAAGCCAAAAGCGGTGAAAATAGTACACTGAATGTAAGGGTTTGAGCAGAAGGCTCCACCCAAATGGACTGATTGTTTTATTTTTATTTTTTTAAAGATTTATTTATTTATGCATACAAGAGCTGGGGTACAGGCCAGAGGTATGGGAGGGTGAGAGGATTCACCAGAGACAGAGTGGGAAACAGAATAGGCAGATTGACTGAAGTACACTGCTGAGGGGAGCAGTGGGTGAGTCAGCAGACCTCTGCTGTGCCATATGGGTTTCTCCCTGGCAGGCTTGGGGATCGAACTCATGCTGCAGTGGCTGTGGATAGCTTTATAGGCTGCGTCTTAACCCCTTGCACCATCAGGGAGGCCCATCATTGTTTTATTTTAAAGTCAGGTTTCATTACAGATAGTAAAATTCACCTCTTTTTTGAGTCTTGACAAACTGGCAGGTGCCACTGTCACTGGCAATAGTTCAGTCACATCCAAAAACTCCCTGGCATTGCCCCATGTGGTCAGTCCCACCCCCACCACTGATCTGTTCTTTGTTGCTGTCAGTTTGCTTCTTCCAGAATGTCATATGGGTGGACTCAAATTGCCATTTGAATCTGGCTTCTTAGAATAATACACTTGAGATACATCCCTATTGCATATATCAGGAGTTGGTTCCTTTTTTTTTAATTCACGAGTAGATGCACCAGTTTGTTGTAGTGCCAGCAAGCCCAGGGCAGACGGATGTATCAATACATTCGGGTCTTCCCAATCTATTGATTCAGGAAGATGGATAAAGGAGACTCCTAGAGACCTCAGCGGCTTTTTCAGGCTCTAATGTTCCTTCTATGCCAATTGTTGTGGGGCAAACCCGCAGGCTGGCGAGGCAGGGCAGCCAAGGGCGGGGGGGGGGGGGATGGCCAGGAGGCTGGCAGCCCCAACAGAATCTATACTCTTTCTCTTTGGACTATCTCTGGTGTTCATTCAGGGCCTTGTCCTCTCATAGCCGTTCTGATATAGCTAGTCCTGTCTCTGAGTGATGCTGCCCTTATAGCTTCAGCCTCTAGGCTCAGGTGTGCACACTTACGCATGCCCATACCATACTCCAGGTGTCCACAATCAGGCCCGCATGCCCTACACCCACCTCCCAAGCCCCTTCTGCATCAACACCATTAAGGTCACGGGTGACAGCCACAGAGGCTAGTGGAGTAAAAGCCTGACCAAGTTCATTTATCCTACAAATATCCATCAGTTGAAGGATTCATATTAGCTTTAAAAAGCAAATAACACTGTACCAGCTCTGAACAGAGTGGGCCCTGCCTCTGGTCTCATGCAGGCCTTTTGCCTGACTGCACCATGACTCCAGAATGGGGACGATGTCTTTGTCTTTTAACTATGTTCCCAGCACGCAGCGAGGGCACAGCTGCCTCTGACTGAGGGAGGGAAGCCAAGTGGGGCGGCGGTGGCATGGGACTTGGGGAAGAGCACCAAGTGCAATCCCTGACAACTGTGGCTGAGAGATGGGTGTGAAGATAGGCTGCTTGGCTTTGGGGTGTTGAGGGGCCGGACAAGAAGAACGTGCTTCTCAGAGTGGAGCAGACCAGAAAGTCTAGCCTTAACCAAATTTTGGTGCTAAAGTGGGGTAACCAAAGCAAACGAAAACTACCCCTCCCCCCAGGCTGTCTAATTGTTCCCCCTCCGCGGGGAAGCTAGTGCATCTGCGGCGCGCGCCCATGCGCTGCAGGTCTTCTCTGGGCCGACAGATGGCAGTGTTGCACCGTGCCTGAGCTCGGCCCCTGCAGGCAGCCCCTCAGCAGGGTTCCGCCAGGGGTCCGGAGCTTAGAGCCCACTGTCCCCCGACGCTTGTTTTATAGGCAATGGACTCGCCCTTGCTCTTGAAACTGAGTCTCGCAGAGCCAGGGCTCAAACCCAACTTCCCAGTGCTCTTCCCTCACTGTCCAGCCGTGGGAGGAGTCTCCAGTCAGAGGGCGAAGGTGGAGGGACAGACAGCCAAGACCCCCAGAGCTGGTTGGTCAACTCTGCGGCCAGTTTGCTGTGTGACCTCATCCCATTTGCCTGTCCTCTCTGGTCCTCATTCTCCACGTCTGTAAAAAGACGAACTCCCAGCTTTAAAATATTTGGTGCTGGGGCCTCCCTGGTGGCGCAAGGGGTTAAGACGAAGCACTATGAAGCTATCTGCAGCCACTGCAGCATGAGTTCGATCCCCAGCCAGGAAGGTGACCCACATGGCACAGCAGACCTCTCATGTCTCTCCCGCTGCTCCCCTCAGCAGTGTGCTTCAGTCAATCCACCTGCTCTGTTCCCCTTTCTGTCTGGTGAATCCTCTCACCCCACACCTCTGGCTTGTACCCCAGTTCCTGTATGCATAAATAAATAACTCTTTTAATAAAATAAAATACTTGGTGCCATAGAACAAGCAGACTGTGACTGAAAAAGACACACAGTTCACGTTCTGCTGGGGGTTTCAGCGGGTAAGGTGCCCATTGCAAGGCCGAATGGAGCGGCTGCAGGGCGACTTCCGGGTGGTGTGCAATGCACGTCCCTTGTAGCTGGAAGTAGTTGCTGACCCAGCTCTAGATTTGCCAGACAAAATATAGGACACACAGTTAAATTAGAATTTCAGATAAACAACAGATGATTTTTTTAAAGCATAAGTATCTTCTAAGTAGTGCCGAGGACATATTTGTACTAAAAATAATGCTGAATGTCATAAATTTAAATCTAACTAGATGTCTTATATTTTTATTTGCTCCATCTGGCACCCTTATCAGGCCGCGGGTCCACCCCCCCATCTTCACCCCTATTGGCTAAGGCCCAGTCTGCCGCCCTGTTCAATATTCTGACAATTACCCCTGACTGCCCGAGAGGCGGCCCACATGTGAACTGTGTTCTCATCTCCTTCCAGGCCTGGCGCTCCTGCTCCCCCCCGCCACTCTGGCAGCCCTGGCAGACACCTGGCTCCGAGAGGACTGCCCGGGCCTCAACCTCTCCGCCCTGGCCACTGGGGCGGCTCCTTCGCAGGCGGCGCTGTGGGCCAAGTCGCCGGGCGTCCTGGCTGGGAGGCCTTTCTTCGATGCCATCTTTGCCCACGTCAACTGCCAGGTCTCCTGGTTCCTCCCCGAGGGATCAAAACTGATGCCCGTGGCCAAGGTGGCAGAGGTCAGGGGCCCTGCCCACTGCCTGCTGCTGGGGGAGCGAGTGGCCCTCAACATGCTGGCGCGCTGCAGTGGGGTGGCCAGCGCTGCAGCGGCGGCCGTGGAGGCCGCCAGAGGGAGCGGCTGGGCCGGACATGTGGCTGGCACGAGAAAGACAACGCCGGGCTTCAGGCTGGTGGAAAAGTACGGGCTCCTGGTGGGCGGGGCCGCCCCCCACCGCTACGACCTGGGGGGGCTGGTGATGGTGAAGGACAACCACGTGGTGGCCGCCGGTGGTGTGGAAAAGGTGCGTGTCCTGATCCCTGCTCTGGTCCTGTCCTCGCCCAGTCACAGCCCTTCCCCCTGTGGCTAGCCACGCCCCAGAAAAAGGGATGGGATTCTGGGGGTGCAAAACACCTGACCCCTCAGTGATTCCATGTGTAAATCAGCGGTGGCTGCTTTCCCACCGTTCTGCTGCTTTGGCTGATGTTCAAGCGCCAAGGTCCAGGTGGGGGAGCCCAGTGTGGTGGGTTCTGGGTCCTAGGGCAGGTGACTCAAGGCCCTGGACATGCTTCCCATCTGGAAAAATGTTGTTGAAGATCCTTTCCAGTTTTCATATTCTGAGGGAAATTGGACTCAGTCCTAGATGCTGAATATTGCTGATATTGGTCATTTTTGACCCCCACAAGTGGTTATTTCATGTGGTTGAATCTAATAACAAAGAAACCATCCCAGTGCCTGGTTTCCTCATTAAACTAAGTTCCTCACCCATCTGGAGCTTTCTAAATACCAGTCCCAGCTCACTATGCTCCTGTGCCAGGTGCCACCCTCTCACCCTCACCCACTGGTCTGTCTGACAGGCGGTGCGAGGGGCCCGGCAGGCCGCCAACTTTACCCTGAAGGTGGAGGTGGAGTGCGGCAGCCTGCAGGAGGCCCTGGAGGCAGCTGAGGCAGGGGCGGACTTCATCTTGCTGGACAACTTCAGGCCTGAGGTGAGCGGGGTCTGCCTTCTGGGAAGGGGCCACATTGGGGACTCTCATCTCCCCTCTACTTGTGCCCCACAGGAGCTGCACCCCACTGCCCAGGCGCTGAAGGCCCGGTTCCCAACTGTGGGTGTGGAAGCCAGTGGGGGCATCACACTCAGCAACCTCCCTCAGTTCTGTGGACCCCATGTCGATGTCATCTCTTTGGGGATGCTGACCCAGGCTGCCCCAGCCCTTGATTTCTCCCTCAAGCTGTTTGCTGAAGGTGCTACTCCGGTGCCTTATGCCCACAGGTCCTAAAACGGACGTGGAGGATGCTGGCTGTGGGAGAGCACACTTTGCTGGGGACCCTCCCAGCCACACATTGTTAGGTCCAGGGGCCCACAGGAGCTTCTCAGCTTTAGCCTGGGTGGAAGTCTGTCTCTGCCATGTGCTGCTATGTGACCTCCAAGGACGGACTTCACCTCTCTTCACCTCAGTTCCCTAATCTGTAAAATGGTTCTAGCAAGTGAGCAACAGTATGAATTGGGGAGTGATAATACATAGTTAAGTGTTCAGTAAATGTTAGAAATTACCAGAGTTCATCTCTTCTGTGATGCATTTTTTCCCCCTCATATGACCTTCTCTGAAGTCAAGGTGTCTTTAAGCAGTGATACTGTCTAACAGCCACCTTTGGCCAGGGGCAGATCAAGAATGAGTTTACTTCCCAGACAGATCAAGACCTTTGTCTTTATGCACCAAACAGCACTGAGCGCTTGCCAGGGCCAGCCTCAGAGCGCACAGTGGAGATTCATCCAGCAGCAGATGCTGGCAAACTTGGGTCCTGCCTTTGCTGAGGCCCTGAGCCAAAGGGCCGGCCCCCACAGGAGGCAGCCTAGAGGTGCCCCTCATTCCTGTCTCTAATCCACCCCTCTGCCCCTGGGTCCCATAGTCCTTCCTCCAGCATGAACACAGACCTTCTCAGCTGACAGCCTTCCCTGCTCCAGGGAACTCCCGACAAAAAGCCCCAGCTCCTCAGACCCGAAAAGGGAGAACTGAACCCCTATAGATCCGGGGGCACTTCTGGAAGTCAGGACAGGAGAGCCTGACAGGTGGGGGAGTGGGAGGATGGGGGAAGCAATCTGGGGGTGCAAACTCAAGTGTTTCCAGGACACAAATGAATAAAATAAATGGGAGAAGTTGGAATAAGACAAAGGGTAGAGGGCCATTCGCCTGGAGAAGGGATGCTGCTACCACAGCAGTCCAGAGAAAAAAGAAACCTACCAGGTTGTGTCTCACACTCACCTTTAACTCAGAACTAGGTCACCCCAACAGGCACCTCCAGACCTGAGAGCTGGGAGGGGGTTTCATCACCAGAGGGAAAGGAAATGGATCCTGGGCAGGCAAAAAGAACACGTGTTTTCCTTGCACAAACCTGGGAATGGGTTTCCGGGCAGAGAGACGACATGAGTAAAGCTCAGAGGCAAGAAATATCTTGGTCTGTTTGGTGTAAGATTTGAAACTGGTATCAGTAGAGGCAAGATGGCCAGGAACTGGGTTGGGTCCAGACCACAAAATGGCAGGTCAGAGGACTTGGACTCTGTTCCTAGAACAATGAGATTCAAGCTGGAAAGTGAGATAAGCAGATCTGAGTTCACTGCAGGAAGATGCACTTGGGGCAGCTGGCTGCAGGGGGAGCAGGAAGGGGCCGGAGCAGAGGGCTTGAATGTTGGTTGTGACAATGTGGTGGAGGCAGGGAACTGCCCGTGGAAGCAACAACCTCTGCAAAGGTTCTGATGGCAGATGAAACCTGATGGGTTCAGGGCAGGAGGAAGAGTTGGGTGTGGCTGAAGGGTGGGAGACAGGCTTGCATGTCAGGAGAGGAATCTCAAGACTTCAGCCAGTTTTGCTCAGTGTGTCTGGCCACACTTCCTCCCTGCTGGTCATTTGGGACTGAGCTTAGATCCCTTCCCCAGGCTGCCCAACACCCAGAAAGCCCCAGAAAGCCCATGCCTGTTAAGGCAAATGGTCTATTGAAATGGGGGCTGCTGTCAGCATATAATGCATCGTCGATGCTGCTGGAGAGTGAGAAGCAAACATACATTCATGGAGGGCCCTCGCCCAGCCTGTGTAGGTCCCTTTCCCTCAGGTAAAGCACGTGGGTGGTGGTGGTGGTGTAACAGGGTGGTCCCAGGAAAGGGGGAGGTTCCCTGCCCCACCCAAGGGAGGGTGGAGCTGAGCAGGAAGAGGAGAAGCTGCAGAAGAGACTGAGGAAGGAGCAGGATGGAGCAAGGAGACCTGGAGGAGGCGCATGGAGCCTAGAGACACGTGAAGAAACTGCACTTGTCTTTTGGTCGTGGACTGGGTGACACAGATGTGGGTGAGACCCGTGGGGAGGTGACAATGGCAGCTTTTATCTTGATGTTGATTTTGCTCTTTTCCTTCCGGGCTTGTCTGGTTGTTTCTGACCCTTTTCTGTGGGTCCCCACAGGAAGATGCTTTAGACTTGTGGCAGGCTTTGGGGCCTTGTTCTGGGCCAATCCCATATGGATGGACTTTTACCCACGAGGGACGGGTAACTCTGGATGCTTCATTTAGAAACTAGACTCTTTGCCTTTCCTGTATTGTTTCCTAGTTTTATTAAAGTTCCTTCCCATTAAAGTCTCATATGTTTTGTGTTGATGCGGCGGATGGCAGAACCCATGTAGAACAGGCAGGTTTGCGGGGTTTTGGGCTGCCCCTCTTCCTGTCCTATAATAGTGGGACGGTGTTAGAGTCTTTGTTTTGCCCGTGAGGAAACAGGCTTTATGAAGTTAAGAGCGCTGCTTAGGATCACACCTCAATAAAATGGTGGGGTAGAGTTCAAAATCAGTGTCATTCACTCATTCGATTAATAGTTCTTGAATGCCTACTATGTGGCGTGCACTATTCTAGATGCCAGATAGACAGCAGTGGGTAGACAGACAAAAATCCCTGTCCTCGCGGAGTTTATATTCTGGTGTAGGGGTGGGGTGAGGGTTGCCAGATCAGGCAATGAGAAAATATTATACCTAAGGGCGCCAAATCCCCTGGTGGCCACCAGAGGGCACTGCAACCACACCACCTTCCACTCTGCAGCTCCCTCTCGGGGTTCCAAAGAGAGCCAAGAAAGCTAGCAACAGAGTTGAGCCTCTCCCCAAGAATCAGTGCTGGGCAGGGGTGCGCAGCAGTTCCTTCTTCCACCTCTCACTTTCTAGCTTAATCCCTTTATCAGCTCCCCATCCAGCTGTTCAAGATATCATTGATTTTTCAAGGCCTTGTGTACTCTAGAGCTCACCAGTGACTCTCATACTCACTCACCACCTGTCCATGCCCCTTCCACTTACCCACCCACACACCCTACCCACCCACTAAGCTATGTATCCTCTCAGCTACCCATCCCATCCACCCACTCCCCTTCCATCTACCCATCCCTCTTGCTACCCACCCACCACCTGGAGCACCTGGTCTAGAGGGTTAAGGAAGGTAAGAGGTCACGCCAGGTTTTACAAGTCTGTGAACTCAAGGCACATGAGTTTCAGTGATTTATTAGTAAATCAAACTGTATCTGAAAACAATTATTTTTGATCTTTCAAAAATCCCATGGTGGTATTATGCGGTGCAGACACGTTTATTAATTTATCGCTAGCCCTTCAAAACAACAGGGCAGGTAAAATTCCATGAGTGTTTCAGCACCTCCATATTTGTTCCAGTAGCTTCCTGAGTAATAGATCATTTTGGCAGTTATTCAGTAGCATTTAAGACCTGCTTTCTGAGGCTCCAAATGGCTCCTTTTGTAAGACCAAACTACAAAGCACTGAATACCATCTGTTTTGCCACCATCCCTGCCTGGGTAGGTTCCCCATCAGTTCTAGCGACCTGAAGAATTTTGGAGCCCTAGGCATCATTTTCACAGGTTTCGCTGGTAAGCAGGGGAACCAGGCAGCAGGGAGACAGCAACTTGAGACCCTCCCTCAGGGTGACACTGCCTTTTTATAGCTTCCCTCCTAGGCACAGGTGTGCACACTTGCACATGTGCACACACCCATGCTCAGGTGTCCATAATTGGGCACATGTACCCCGTGCCCATGCTCTCAAGCACCTTTTGCATTAACACACTCAGGTCACAGGTGATGGCACGAGGCTAACGTGCAAAAAGCCTGATCAATTTACTTACCCTACACCGTTTAACTGTGGCTCATTGATCACTCTGCATGTCAAATTTATACCGGGTAGTGGGGGCTTTCTTCATTTCAGATATGTAATGCTCTTTGGATTACTGGCATCTGGCGCAGCACACCTAGAAAATGATCAGGGGCTTGGGGGGCTACATTCTTAGCTCTGGTCTGGTGAGTGGCTGAATGACCTCCTTTCTCCCAGCTCTTCAGCCAAAAATTGCAGAAGCCTTACATGGAACTAACAAGCAGCTATTCCAGAAGTTGCTTGTTTCTTGCTATGTGGCTACTTTTTAACCAAAGGCAAGCATCTCTGTTGGAATACTGTATCATTATATAAAGGACAACACTGATCTATTAAGGGCTGGATTAAAATCATGCTCCCCCTATGAAAAACAATAATAAAACTGTAATCTTGCCAAGGACCAAAAATATTTCATGTTTTATTTTTGTGTGATCTGCTTTGTTTTCTCAGCATGTTCTGAGCCAGAAGGGGAATTCACTGAGGTTTGGCAGCTTTAGATGTGGAGAATTGTAGATAAAACGTTTTTGTGTTATTGGTATAGTAATGACCCAAAAGGATGGAAAATTTTAAAGGCCAAACCAAGCCTAGCATCAAAAAAAATTCCAATCTAACTGATGAAAACTCCATGAGGGAAGACAGAAGATGTAAAAGAACTGCTTACGTGACCAATTTTGAGGCAGCAATTCAGTCCTGCTCTCTGTACAATAATTAAAACAGAACCGAGCAAGTCCATATGTCTTTCCTGACGGTAAATTCCTCCTGTCGTTTCTCCTTCATTTGTTAATTAACTTACTTATCAGGGTATAAAATGAAGAAGTAAAAATCCCATTCACTCCCATGCCCCTGAGGTGATTATGTTTAAGGAGGTTTTAATGGTCCCCATGACAGCCTCTGAACTTGTAAGGAGACTAATTTCTAGGTCTAGGCAACACTGACCCCTATGCTAAGCACAAAGAATCGAGCTCACTCACATTTTTTCTTTTTTTTGGTTAGGTTGTTTTTTTATTCTTTCTATTGGTTATCATTGTAATTTTAGTACATCTAACCCCTTCTTTTTTTTTTTTTCAAGATTTATTTATTTATACAAGAACCGGGTACAGGCCAGACGCGCGGGAGGGTGAGAGGATTCACCACAGACAGAGTGGGAAACAGAACAGGCAGACTGACTGAGATACACTGCTGAGGGGAGCAGCAGAGAGACAGGAGAGGTCTGCTGCTCCATGTGGGCTTCTCGCTGGCCGGCTGGAATCGAACCTGCGCTGCAGAGGCTGTGGACAGCTTCGTAGTGCGGCGCTCAACCACCTGTGCCACCAGAGAGGCCCAAACCCCTTCTTCTTGATGCATTCTTTAAAATGCTGAGATATAATTGACACACTTGAAAATTTAAATTCTTTCAAACACCTTTTCAAGTGTTCAGTTCAGTAGTTTTGGGATATGTTCTAGAGGTGGGGAACCATCACCACTATGTAATTTCAGAACATTTTAATCAAACCTCAAAGAAACCCCCATACCCATGAAAGTCACTGTCCACTTACCGTGGATTCTTAAGATTTTCTATATCCAAGATCATGTCATATGCAAAAATAGCTTTACTTCTTCCTTTCCAATCTAGTTGCCTTATTTTTTTCTATTCTAGGCCATTTACATTTAATATGATCATCAACGTGGTTTGATATCTTGCTGTTGTTTTTTATTCATCCCAGGTCTTCCCCTTTCTCTTTTTCTGCCCTCTTTTGGAAATTGCGTACTTTTGGTTTTCATTTGTCCTCTTTTGTTTGCTTATTCACTATAACTCTTTGCTTTTTTGTTTGTGAGTTTGACTCACATCTTTTTCTTTTTCTTTCTTTTTTTTTTAACCCACTAA